TCTTCTTCTCATCCAAGTCATAAGAAAGAGGAGAGGTGCTCTCTTTTCAGATCTAGCCCTTTCGCGCAAAGACAGTGGCTAGTGCAAGCCTTTTAGGAGCCCCCTTTACTATTTATTTATTTAATTTATATCCCAATTTCTCTCCCCCCCCCCATGGGAACTCGAGGAACCTTACATCCTTCCCCTCCCCTCCATTATCCTCACTCACAAAGGCCCTAGATCAAAGTGGGCAGCCACGTCAGTCTGAAGCAACAGGACAAAGTTTGAGTCCAGAGTGGCACCTTTAAGACCAACACAGTTTTATTCAAGGTGTGAGCTTTCGTGTGCAAAGCACACTTCCTCAGATACAGTGAAATGGAATTACAGATCATAGTTATATATGTAGATGGCTGCTTGTTAAATTAGCATGCAAAATAGTGAAGTGTTTTTTAATCAGATAAAAAGAACGACAAGCTTGGTTTCTGGTTATCATCACAATAACCCTGTGAGGTGGGTTAGACCGAAAGGGTGTGACTAGCCCAAGATCACCCAGCAAACTTCCATTGCACGAGAAAGGATTCAAACCGAGGTCTCCCAGATCTGAAGAAGTGTGCTTGCACACGAACGTTTATAGGCAGAATTAAGCTTTACTGGTCTTAAGAACATAAGAAAATGAGAGAAGCCAATGTTGGATCAGGCCAGTGGCCCATCCAGTCCAACCCTCCGTCTGTCACACAGAGGCCAAGATACCAGGTGCCATCAGGAGGTCCATCAGTGGGGCCAGGATACTAGAAGCCCTCCCACTGTTGACCCCCCATCCCCCCAAGCACCAAGAATACAGAGCATCTCTTGCCCCAGACATAAGAACATAAGAGAAGCCAATGTTGGATCAGGCCAATGGCCCGTCCAGTCCAACACTCTATGTCACACAGTTGCCAAAAATACCAGGTGCCCTCAGGAGGTCCACCAGTGGGGCCAGGACACCAGAAGCCCTCCCACTCTTGCCCCCCCCCAGCACCAAGAATACAGAGCATCCCTTGCCCCAGCCTGAGAGTTCCTATCTATACCTTGTGGCTAATAGCCACTGAGGGACTTCTGCTCCATATAAGAACATAAGAGATGCCAATGTTGGATCAGGCCAATGGCCCCTCCAGTCCAACACTCTGTGTCACACAGTGGCCAAAAACACCAGGTGCCAGCAGGAGGTCCAGCAGTGGGGCCAGGACACTAGAAGCCCTCCCACTGTTGCCCCCCGCCAAGCACCAAGAATACAGAGCATCCCTTGCCCCCGACTGAGAGTTTCTCTCTACACCTTGCAACTAATAGCCACTGATGGACTTCCGCTCCAGATGTTTATCCAATTCCCTCTTATAAGAACATAAGAAAAGCCAATGTTGGATCAGGCCAGTGGCCCGTCCAGTCCAACACTCTGTCATACAGTGGCCAAAAACACCAGGTGGCATCAGGAGGTCCAGCAGTGGGGCCAGGACACTAGGGAATTCCAAAAACCCCCCCCCCCCTCCCCCCCCCCCAAGCACCAAGAACACAGAGCATCCCTTGCCCCAGACGGAGAGTTTCTTAAAGGTGCCCCTGGCCTCCAACGTTGCTCTCTTGCTTCAGACCCACAGGCCTCCCCACCAGTGTTCCCTCTAAGCTGAGTGAGTGTGCGCTAGCTCGCAGTTTTTCAGCCTCCGGCTCATACATTTTTGTCTTAGCCCAGGAAGGATGGGCTCCAGGGCAAACTCATTTACTCAGTAGCCAAATCGTTCATGCCAGGAGCTCACAAGGTAGACTTTTTGCTCACAAGACTCCACCGCTTAGAGGGAGCACTGCTCCCCACCTGGTCCCAAGCCAGCCTCCTAAGCACCTGGTCACACCGGCTCCCGTTAACCCTTCCTCCTCCTCCTCCTGCCCCACTTCTTGCCCAGCCTCTGCAATCCTGACGCTCAAAAGCAGCCGGGGCCCTCTGCGGGCGCCACTCACAGTATTTGATCACCGCGATGTTGACCGGGGCCGTGCAGGTCACCACCGTCAGGGGGGGCTTCTCTTCGGCCATGGGGGCGCTGCAAAGGCGGCGGGGGTCGCTGGGTGGGTGGCGCCCTCAGGGCACTCGGCCAACAGGGAAGCCAAAGGATCGTCCCCCCGACGGCAGTCCGCCCAGCAGCCTAAACCTCCCAGCTGCGACGGCTCCGGGAGACGCCGGGACTTTGCAAGCCTCCGACATGTGTCTGCACAAGCCGCATGCCCGGAAGCACCGCCCCCTCCCGGGATTGGCCAGCGAGGCCCCAGCTGCTCCCAGGCGGCCCAATCGGCGCCAGCCTCACCCCCTCTTGTGGCTGCTCCCAGCCAATAAGCCGCCTCGGAAGATGGGACTCTTCGCTCGCCTTATTTTGCGCCCTGCAGTCTGGCGGGCGGAACCCTGCAGGCGGCTCCGAGGAGGGCCGTTTCCCGCACGGACAGTCGCAGCCGTTGCTCAAGCGG